AAGCTTCGCACTTTTGGGCGAATGCCTCGCAGTCGGCGAGCATAGTTGGCCAAAAATGGCCGTCTTTCTTTATTTTTAGGGCCAACGCGCGTCCACCCGAATGGTTCCCGCCGTCTCCTTCGTGGACCTTGCCCATAATCCTTTCGCTTTCGTCTCGATCGACGCAGGTAAGGAAGGTTCCGTTAGAACTTCTCCGGAGAAGTTCTCCATTGGTCAGAATGTAATTGGCACATCGGGCTTTTAGTCGTCGAGCCTGCCACCGGTCTGCGGGAACCTGACCGCTTTGTATGTAGAGTTTGATCTCTTCCCGCCAGTCGACCGGGGGGGCTTCTTCCTCATGGGGCTCGTTCTCAACCGGGTCGATCTCCATTTGGACCAAGTCGTTCATGATGAGGTTGATCTCATGAGGTTGAGCGATGCTTGGCAGATCGATACTTTCGATGGGGATGGATCGGCGGAGGTCTGGATTTGCGTTTGAAGCTAAGGCGGCGAGGGCGTCGGCCGAAGTGTTGTCGCTGCGTGGAATTTTTGTGAGAGAGAAGCTATCGAATTCGGCTGAGGCGGATCGGACTAACGCCAGATAAGAACTCATCCGCTCGTTCTTGGTGTCGAATTCTCCGCTGAATTGGCTTACGACCAGTTGTGAATCGCAAAATGCCTGGATATGTTTTATTCCGATGCCCCTAGCAAGTCGTATTCCTGCGAGCAAAGCTTCGTACTTGGCCTCGTTATTGGATGCTTTGAAACCGAGTTTCAACGATTGTTCCAGAACCTCGCCTGTCGGTGATCGCAAGAGGATTCCTACTCCGGATCCTTGGTTGCAAGAAGATCCGTCGACATAGAGGGTCCAGCTTTCGACTTTTGGTGCGTCCTCCACGAGTTCTGGGGCGAGCTCGACCATAAAGTCCGCTAAAACCTGTGCTTTCAGACTGGGACGAGAGCGGTACTCAATATCGTATTCGCTTAGTTCGATGGCCCATTTAGCCATTCTTCCTGACTGCACGGGGCTGTGTAGCACTGTCCGAAGTGGTTGATCG